AGTTCACATGTTGCTTTCAAAACTGCAAATTAGATTTGAGTTGGAAATACTTGACTGAACAGAATTTCTCCTCCATCCCTGCAGGATATTATATTTTCCTGTCCAGCACTTTGATGGAAAGTGTTGTTTGACGCAGCCTCGTAAACCCAAAATGAGCAGGGCCTTCATCTCCCTGCTGATGAAGTCGCTCAGCAGCTTCACTTGCTCCTTAATCTTGTATCAACAACAATGCCAAAGAAACTCTCTTGGGAGAATCCTCCAAGGCAAGAAGAGCGATCAATAACATCTTGCCGGAATAGGAACGCTTATGAAATAGGACTTGATGCTTGATTCGTTATTCAAGTCAGGGCTGTTTCAACCATTATACAACTACATGAAATGTATTTCCTTGGAGGAAAAGACTGGGAAGCTGTGGTGATGAGCGTAAGCATAGATATAACGCTGTTGCAGCGAGAGTAGACATGAACTGAGGAGGGCTGGCTAGTCATCGCAACCTCTTAGCTCAGTGGTTCCTTCACTTCCACCTCCACTCCCACCCCACATATCACTTGAAAATTGCTGAGAGTCTTGGCAGACCACTTAATTACATTTCTGTTTGTTGCAGCAATTGCCAGGCTCTATGCTAGATGCTCTATGATTTTTAATTTCTTTATTGTCTTTATATTCCCACCTTTTTCTTCAAAGGTTTCTGGGTAGTGTACATGGTTCTCCCCTTCCTCATTTTAATAATAATAAATTTTATTTATACCCCGCCCTCCCCAGCCAGTCGGGCTCAGGGCAGCTAACACCAATGAAATCACAGTAAAAACATAAAAGGGGGAAAAGGGGGGGAGGAGAGAGAAAAGAAAAAAACCAATTTTAAATACAGGTTAAAATGCAATTTAAAATGCAGCCTCATTTCAAAATAGCTGATAAATCAAAACCATAAGGGCAGGGAAACATAAGGGTCAGACCGAGTCCAAACCAAAGGCCAGGTGGAACAGCTCTGTCTTGCAGGCCCTGTGGAAAGATGTCAAGTCCCGCAGGGCCCTAGTCTCTTGTGACAGAGTGTTCCACCACGTTTATCCCCACAACAACCCTGTGAGGTAGGTCAAGCTGGGGGGGGGGGGCTGCAACTAGCCCAAGGTCACCCAGTGAGTTTTGTGGCTAAATGAGGATTTGAATCCCAGCCTCCCAGGTTTTAGTCTGACACTTGAGCCACTCCGGTACACTGGCTCTCAACTGTATCCTTATTGCTTCTTTTATTTGTTATAGATTGTATTTTACCGTGTTACAACTTGAGATTCATAGAATTCAAACCATAGTACAGTAAAATACAATATAAGGGATAGAAGAGGCAATAAAAATGCAACTAACAATCCATTGATGTGATTTTTCAGTCCACAGACATGACATGGACCAAGTGAAGGAGGCTTGTGGACCACAGTCTGGGAATTCTCACCTTAGCTCTCTCACACACAGTGAAACAGAGGCAAACTGGACATCCTCAGCACAAGGAAGGGCATTCCACAAATAGAAAGCCACCACTGAGAAGGTCTTGTCACAGATCACCACCAACAGGGCAGCCCCTGGCAAAGCCACCACCAATAGGGCCTCCTCTGTTGAACACAGGGCCCAAGATGGTTGACATTGCAGAATGCACTCTTTTAGGTATGCATTTTTCAAAATATATATTATATACACGTATTTTACAAAATATTTCATTTCCTATGCATTTAAACACCCGCCCACACTCACACACTTATTGCCAACTCAATTATACTCTGAGCAGACTCCTTGGGTTGCATCCAGTTGGGTTCTGCTGCTGCAATGGGACTTCCAGTTCTTCCCCTTCCCATGCCCCTCAAATCTACTTTGGAGGGTTCCCCAATACTCTGGAGCTGATTTTGGGGGTGTTCTTGGGGCTAAAGGGAAAATGAAAGGAAGTCCCATTGCAACCACAGAAGTCCATTCCACTCACGAAGCTGCAACATTGGGGATGACCCATTGAAATGAATGTGCCTAAATGAGTTACATGCACTCATCTCAGTGAGTCCACACGGAGTCTGACTAACATTAGATACCACCCATACTTTTATTTATATGCAATTTTGGTATGATTTTGTGCCAAGAGTTGCATTGCAGAATTCAAAAGATAATGGTGTTTTTGATCCACGTTTTAGTCTACAGAGTCAACACAATTCAATTGGAAAAACGGACTGAGCAAAATCCTTGATCACCCCAATGGCTTCAAGGAGAAAAGAACAAATGAGCGAGAGTTTGGCGTGTCTGTTTCCATCACTTCATTAACTAACTAACTCAGTCACTCACTCACTCACTCACTCACTCACTCACTCACTCTGCCTTCTTTTGTTGTTGTCAATCATGGTCAGATATTCACTGCAAAATACTCAGTTTTGAGGGTCAAATAGACATTGCAATTTCCAGGATCTAAATTGGCCAGATGGCCAAACATCCCCATTCCAAAAAGCAGCAGGGATAGGAAAGATCACACTTAATTTCTGAAATGTCTGCCAGTTTAGGAGTCTCAGCTGGCTTGATGGACTTATGAGAAATGGCTGTGTCGTCCTTTCCCTCTCCATGTGGTCACAGCTTGAAATGTTTGAGTCGGGTGCCTGAGCACCTTGTAACAGTAGTTACAGGGTTGGGAAACCAGGGGTCAAATGTAGCCTCTTTCTCGATGGCCTGTGGAACTCGCTACAGAACACAAGTCCTGTTGAGCCACACCTCTATAGAAATCCACTGGACTAATATTACTGGAAGATCTATTTTAAAATGAATATACAGTGATACCTCTAGTTGCGGACATGATCTGTTCTGGGGTGCCGTTCGCACCCCAAAAAGTCCACAACTAGAGCGGCGCTTCTGCGCAAGCGCAGAGTGTGATAGAGCGCTTCTGTGCATTCACAAAGTGTGTAGAATGCTTCTGCGCACACATGCACGGAGAAACCCGGAAGGATACACTTCCGGATTTGCTGTGTTCACAAGCTGAAAAGACGCAACATGAACCTAACGCAACATGAGGTGTGACTGTACTGGACCAGTATGGGTGTAAGAAGGCCTTGGCTTCCATCCTGCCCTGTGTTTGTAGCATGAAGTGCTGTTTCCATTCTGTTGCAGTTTGACTTCCGACGAAAACTATGCTATTCCTCTCCCTTTCCGCTGTGGCAGACCTTTATGTAATTCATTCCATTATTCTGTGACCTTCATTTCAGCGCAAGCGCCACTCATTCCAATCAAAGGAACCATAATGCAAATTGAGGAGGGCTGGAGTAATAAATTATAATTTATGGATTGATGATAGCAACAGCAAACAATGAATGTGTTCATTGGATCGATTTCTTTTCCAGAAATGGGGCACATTATTTATTTGTTTATTGACTTTATATCCTGCCCTTCCTCTCAAAGGAGCCCAGGGCGGCAAAGAGATCCAGAATTTAAAAATGAAAGAAAAGCATGAACAAACAATTAAAACATTCTAAAACCAATTGGAGTTTAAAACATCCTTCCATCCAGTGATCTCAGGTTTGCCAGGAACATGTTCTTCAGTCACCAAACACCTGGGTGAACAGGAATGTTTTAAAGTCCTCCTGAAAGTTAATGACAGGTGTACCTCACTGCTGTGTGAATGCAGACTCAGTCAGACCATTGGTTCATCTAGACTGGTATTGTATACTCTGACTGGCAGTGACTCTCCAGGGGTTCAGTTGGGGGACATTCCCAGCCCAGCCTGGAAATGCCAGGGATTGAACCATTAAACTTCTGCATGCTGACCTCAAATAGCCTCAGGGTCATGCTGATCTCAGATTCATAAATCAGTTCTTTTAGGTATAGTGGTTCCAAGCCACACAAGGCTTTAAATTTCAAAGCTGGCACTTTGAATTGAGCCCAGAAGCAAATTGGAAGCCAGTGCAGTCAGACCAGAATCATTATATGTCCATGCCTTTTTGCACTTGCCATCAATCTAGCTGCTGTGCTTTGCAGCTGAGACTGATGGCAATGTTGCTGCCCCCATGGTTGTGGCCACAGCCAAATAGGCACACAGAGGTCAATTGACCAGACCAGGGAGATGGGGAGGGGACAGATGACATTTTGCCAAGAAACCTGCTGAGCACCTCATTATGGTGTAAAAATTAACATAGAAAAAGTAGACCTATGGTAGGATTATTTAGCAATGCAGTCCATGAGCAGCCTAGGCTATGCTAAGACAGGTAGGGATTTAAGACCACTCTTTTTTTATCCTGGAGGTAAAATACCACATATCCACCTTTAAAAGAAAACCAATTTGCAAACAGTCCCAGCTGTCAGACGAAAACTATCTAATTGTGTACATATTCATGTTAATCTAGAGGGAGTCTAATCTAGCAAGTAATTACCACCCTTAATGATTTGTCACTCATGTCATTGCCTGTTGCAAATAATAAACTTCATTTATTTTCCTCCTTGTCTTTACCCCGCCAACCCCAACCCCTGTTGCTCTCCCATGTTCTGAATTAATGATATGTGTCACTAGTTTTCATTTACTGAAGCTTTGTCAGAAACTCCCTTCCAGCCAGGTTGATTAAGGCACATGGCTCAGAGGGAAATTGGGAAGAGCTGAGGGGCAGAATAGGAAATAGATTTCTAATAGAGAAGGCAGCACGATGGAGAGCAGCGGGAGAGGTTTCATGGTTACGGCTGGAGAATGGAGGGGGTGCATTTTCACAGAAGGAACAGTGTGAACCAAGATAAGAATATAAGAAGATACTGCTGGATCAGGATGATAGCTTAGGTACAGAGAATAAATTCAATTCAGTTTTCATTTAAATTTGTGCTTTCCCTCAAAATATGTGAACCCAAACACAGTCAGCCTTAGGAATCCATACTTCTCTGAATTTTGCAACGTCGTTCTCCAGCCAAGTGAGGTGTACAAAAATGTAAAAACTAGGGGAAAGTGTGCATATAAATACGTATTTTAGTATATAAACACATATGCTTATATTATATACATATACAGTATGCGTGTGTGTTGTTACATATATGCGTGTGTGTGTGTGTGTGTATATACACACACACACACACACACACACACACACACACACACACACACTGTGTGTATAAAAACACATTCTGTCCTGGAGCTACAGACATCCCATGGCTTCTGCCACAGGTCTAAATTGATGGCTTGCAGGGGGCATATGAAATTGGGACAAGGACTAAATGTAGCTCTGTGTCTTCAGATTGCCTACTCGCAATCTGGTTCAACATCCTATTTCACAGGGTGACAGACTGGGTGCTTCCTGGAAGTTCATAAGGAAAATCTGGTATCTTGCAACTCATTCAGTGGATACTGTCACAAGCTCCTGTACTTCGAAGTTTCCCACTGGCTTCAACCTTCCCTACTAACCTTCTCAGCTCTGTCAATGGCTACTACCCTGATGGTTATGTTCAACCTTCACTGTCAAAGGCAGGCATAGGCAAACTCGGCCCTCCAGTTGTTTTGGGACTACAACTCCCATCATCCCTGACCACTGGTCCTGTTAGCTAGGGATGATGGGAGTTGTAGTCCCAAAACAGCTGGAGGGCCGAGTTTGCCTATGCCTGGTCAAAGGCAATGTCCTTCTGAATACCATTTTCTGGAAACCATGCAGTGGGTTGGTTGGGGGCGGGGAGAGTGCTGTTCCACTCAGGTCCTACTTGAGAATTTCCCATGGTCATCTGGTTAACCATCATGAGAACAGGATGCTGGACAAGATGAGCCAGCAGTCTCTTCTTATGTTCTGTGGGGAGTAACAACTCTGTGTTAATGAGGTTGAGTTGGCAGCATTCTTCAGGCATAAGAAGAGCTGTCTAGAGCAGGTTATTGGTCCATCTAGTTCCTCAGCCTCTTCTCAGAAGCAGGGCCTGAGCCCAAGCCCAGGTTTCCAGCAACTGGTATTCAGAGCATACTGTCTCCGACAGTGGAGGGCCTCTGTGATTTTTTATTTTTTTATTTTTTTGCATCTGTTCAACAAGCAGGACTTCAGTTGGTGAAGCATTTCTCATGCAGGCACTAATGATGAGAAGGGCCCAGCCAGAGAATGTTGAGACACCAAAGAAGCTGGAATCCCTTGTGATCTTTTCACCCATTTTGTCTGCAGTTCACAATGGCAAAACAGTTCTTCTCCCCACTCTCATTAAGTCCTCCTTCACATCCCCCACCTGGAAATATCTGGCAGCCAATTGCTTTTAATAAGATGTTTTCCTTTCACCAATTAAGTGGCAATTATTTCACCCCCAACTTTGTATGCACCCATCATTCTCGCTGTTTCTTACAACAGCTTCCGAAGTCGTCATGCGAGATACCAAGACAATGAGTCTGATTCATCAGCTGCGTTAATTTTAACTCTGCATTGTTTGATTCAGCTCTCTTCCCATTGTTCTTTTCAATCAAACACCACACGTACCAAAAATTGCAGCTGCTTAACATATTAAACCACTTCCATTTATTCCGGCAGGTTGCTTTAATGTCCTGTTGTGGAAAGTGCTGTGATAGCAATAGTCCCCAGAAGAATCAAACGTAAGGTCAAAACCTTAGTTTTAAAAAAATCACTAGTTCTTTTAAATAAAAATAAAAATACTTTCTGTAACTTAAATATAGAGTGCTTTCTGGAACTGGAGGAGCTTTTTGAAAAATTAGTGTGCAACACTTTGATACTGAAATGTAAAAGTTGAACTTTTTGGAATCTTTGAACCAAATTGATTGTTGCAGGTTCTGGGAAATGATATATAATGAACTGAAAAAAATGTTTAAAATAACTTTTCTAAAAAAGAAACCAGAAGCTTTTCTATTAGGAATTGTACATACCGATATTCCAAAGGAGCAGAAAAGACTTTTTATGTATGTGACGACAGCTGCACGGATGCTATTAGCCCAGAGATGGAAAGAAGATAAAGTCCCTACTAGAGAGGAATGGCAAACTAAACTGTTGGACTATGCCGAAATGGCAAAACTGACCAGAAAGCTCAAGAACCAAGAAGACCAAAACTTTAACAAAGAATGGGGAAAATTTATAATTTATCTTGGAGACCACTGTAAGCAGATGAAAACATTAACAGGATTGCAATAACACTCGTAATGTGGTAAGTACTATGGAGATAATGGATTTATATAAAATATGGACTATTGGAAAAGATGCAGTAGAAAAGGTTTAATCATAGGACCCACGGTGGAGAAGGTGGGAAGTCCAGAGATTCAGAGGAATCTCCAAATGTGGATGTGGATGGTTGTATTGTTATGATTTTATACTTTTGCTAGACTACAACTCTCATTGGAGGTGGATTTAGGGCAGTGCAAGCGGTTCTGGAGAGCCAGTGTGGTGTAGTGGTTAAGAGTCTCATAATCTGGGGAACCGGGTTCGCGTCTCCGCTCCTCCACATGCAGCTGCTGGGTGACCTTGGGCTAGTCACACTTCTTTGAAGTCTCTCAGCCCCACTCACCTCACAGAGTGTTTGTTGTGGGGGAGGAAGGGAAAGGAGAATGTTAGCCGCTTTGAGACTTCTTAAAGGGAGTGAAAGGTGGGATATCAAGTCCAAACTCTTCTTCTTCTTCTTCTTCTGCCACACTGGGTGCCAAGTGTAGAGGGTGCTGCAGGGTGCCACAACTAGAACATAGTGAATTGAGCAGAAGGGAAGGTGAGAGGTGGCAGAGGCATTGAATTTAGGACTTATTTTGTTGTTGTTTAGTCGTTTAGTCATGTCCGACTCTTCGTGACCCCATGGACCAGAGCATGCCAGGCACTCCTGTCTTCCACTGCCTTACGCAGATTGGTCAAACTCATGCTGGTAGCTTTGAGAACACTGTCCAACCATCTCGTCCTCTGTCGTCTCCTTCTCCTTGTCTCTTTCCCAACATCAGGGTCTTTTCCAGGGAGTCTTCTCTTCTCACGAGGTGGCCAAAGTATTGGAGCCTCAGCTTCAGGATCTGTCCTTCCAGTGAGCACTCAGGGCTGATTTCCTTCAGAATGGATAGGTTTGATCTTCTTGCAGTCCATGGGACTCTCAAGAGTCTCCTCCAGCACCATAATTCAAAAGCATCAATTCTTCAGCGATCAGCCTTCTTTATGATCCAGTTCTCACTTCCATACATCACTACTGGGAAAACCATAGCTTTAACTATACGGGCCTTTGTTGGCAAGGTGATCATTCAAAAGACCAGAGTCTGCCCCTGGTCTCATCTTCTCTGACCTTTGGTCATGCTGGGAGTGGCTGACAGGAGTTGGAGTCCAACAAATTTCTCATCCCTGCTGTATACTAACAGTGACCTCAGCCTTCAGCTGCCCATCCTTATATTGCCAAGACGGTACTAGCAACACACAAGAGGCTGGTATCAGCAGAATTCGGGGAACCCCAAGGTTTGAGGAAGTACAGAAACCTAAGGGAAACTCCAATGAGCATGCTCAGTGGGCAGAGAAACTGAGCTGGAGGATATGGGAAACAGAAGTGGTGGGGCATGGAGTAGAACAACCTTGGACACAGCTGGGGGGACAATTCCATCCTGCAACTGGATGCAGGTTCTGCTTGTAAAACAGAAAATTGCAGTAGTCCTATGCCAAATATCACTGCATGGCAATGACTGAATGCTGACTATGATGCTGCGTTGAGTATCAAATACTGTTAAAAGCTAAGCATTTGAGGGTTTTCAGTATGTGGAGGGGAGATGACTGAGGTTAGAGGTTTATTGTGCATTGTATGGACAAAGTAGTTAGAGATAGTTTTTGTCCCACATTAATAATAATAGAACTTGAGGCGGGGGTGTCACCCAGTGAAATTGATTGGCAGGAGATTCAAGGCAGACAAGAGAAAGTGCTCCTTTACATGATGCATAATGTGTGGAATTCATGGGAACAAGTCAAGGTGAAGACCACTGGCTTAGAAAAATGTATGATGGGTAGATCTGTCAGTGTCTGTTTGCCATGATGGCTAAGTGGGACCTCCTGGTCTAGGGGCAGCATGACTTGATATCTTTTGCTGGGTGTTATGTATTGAGCTGAATAGGATCCAAACTGCAGCAGTCTGATTGGTCTTAGAACAATAGGATCCAAAATGCAGCAGTCTGATTGGTCCTAGAACAATAGGATTCAGAATGCAGCAGTCTGATTGGTCCTAGAACAATGCAGCAGTATGATTGGTTGGCAGGAACCACCCAATCATGCTCCAGATAGAAGTGAATCCACAACCTGATTGGCTTACAGTAGAATTCTGGAATTAGCCAATCATGTGCAGCCCATTGTGTAAATAATGTATATAAAACAGATACTTTGAGGGGACATTCTTTCATTCCTCCTCACTACTATGAGCTGAATAAAGAGCATGAAATCACTTTGCGACTCTGAGTATATTTCACTGGGAAACAACGATAGTGAGAGAGATGGATGTTGCCTTCACGTGTTCTGCTTGTGAGCTTCAGCAAAGAATCCGATTGGCTGTTAGGGCAAGCAAAATCCTCCACTAAACGGGTCTGATCTGGCAGGGCTCTGCTTATCATCGAATCTCCTGGAAACCCTTATGGTAACTCTAAGTTTTAATTCATCCTATATCACGGGGAAAGGATTGTTTCAGGCTCCAGGGTCTGAATCTGTGGACAAGGGGAGTAGAATGCAGTCAGCGCTGACTGCAGCCTGTGAGTCATCCTGAATTCATAATTGTGCTCAAAACAGGAGTGGGCAGGTGATCAAGCACAATACAACCACCATTATAAGGAAACAAGGAGCCTTCTGAGCCAGGCGGTTCTCACTTCAGTATATCCCTGCCATTTATCAAGGAAATGAGCATCTCCTTGTTTAGTGAGGGGGTTACTCCCATGTGATCACCCCTGGAGCAGGCAGGTCTTGCACTGGACTTCCAGCCAAGCCACATTTGCATAGAGGTGCCATTTGAGTGTACTGGCAGAGAAATCTGCAACAGTTGTGTGCATGCTGGCGCTGGTTCACACCAGGGGAAAAGGGCTGTAGCTTAGTGGTAGAACATGAATTCTCTGTGCTGAAATTTCCGTGTGCAATCTCTTCTATCTCCAGGCAGGATTAGGAAAGTTCCCCCTCTTGGCACTCCTGCTGAGCCAGATGGACTGG